CTGTTTTTTTTTTTTTATTATTATTTTTTTTTTTATTATTTGGGTGAATCAACAACATCGCCTTGTTAGAAGCTCTTTCTAGTCAAACTTAGGAAAAGGTATGCCTAGTCATCATTTTTGTACAACAACCTAGTAAAAACAACTATAGCTAGCTACTAGTAGCCATTAATCATGTACGAGCAATAGCCTTCATCACTTTCTAAGGCTACCAAACTCAAAAAGTCTTCTCTCTATTCCTTTCAATTTAGGGATGTCAACGGGCGGGGCGGGGCGGATTTTGGCATTCCCATCCCCATCCCCGCCTCACATTTTCATCCCCATCCCCATCGCGGGTCTAAAAATTATCCCCATCCCCGCCCCGGCGGGTCCTACTCCAAAACCACCCCCGCCCCATCCCCGTCCCCGCCCCGTCCCCGCCCCATCCCCGCTAATTCCCCGCCCCATCCCCGCTAATTCCCCGCCCCATACCCGTCAATTTAGTATTAAAATCCTGCATATTATATAACTAAAAATTAATAGTACATAAGAGGAAAAAAAAAACAGTAACTCCAAATTGTCCACAGTACAAATATTATAAATACTACAAGTTTACAAAATATTCAAATACATAAGAAGAAATTCATTAGGCCTTGAATTATTCGGTGCAAAAGTCCACTTGTTTCCAGAATCGATATCACATGTTTCAAATCCTTCCTCTAATTCTCCCACTAATTTAGCATATTTATCATCCTTAAAATCTCCACAATCTGCAAATACAATGTTAATTAATTAAAATAAATAAATAAATAATATTATTAATTAAATAAAATGTTATATTAGCTATTTACCTTTAAAAGCAGCCCATATCCAATTTTGAGTACACATCAAAGCTTCGACAGCTTCCGGTAAAAGCCGACTACGATAAGGACTAAGAACCCAACCACTTGTGCTAAATGCGGACTCTGATGCAACAGTAGAAACAGGAATGCTCAATATATCTCGTGCTATTTGCTGAAGAATGGGATATGTGCCTCCATTTGTCTTCCACCAGTTAAGAATATCAAAATCTTGGACTAGAGGCACATTAGCAGCATCTAAATACTTATCCAATTCTGAAATTTCATGACTTGAGTCCTTATCTTGTTGCAAAAATTCTGCAAATTCTTGCATAAAGGTCTCCTCATTGGATTTGCTACTACTATCCAAATCAAAAGCTTGTTGGCTGCTACTACCTTGAGTTTTACCCATCTTAGACCCATACTCATCAACCAATCTTCGTAGAAGATCACTAATTCTACCAACCTCAATTTCAAAGTCATGCTCCTCAAAAAATTTTGCAAAATAAAAGCGAATAAGAGCCATTTTGTATCTAGGATCTAGTATTGTTGCCACTCCCATTAAACCATTCACACTAGCCCAATACTTGTTATATTTTTGTAACATAATGTCGGCCATTTTCCTTACATAATCATGAGGAGATAAAAGCCAACCAGAAATAGCAATTCTCAAAGCACAAATTTTAGGAAAATAAAGATTGGCCGTAGGGTAATTTGTTCCTGAAAAATTAAGGGTAGTTATACTAAACACTTCCAAATGTTCACATATTTTCTCAACTTTTTCCCAATCTTCTGGGGTCGGTGGATTCTTATATAAATTATTACGAGCACTTAAAACAACAAACACTTCTTTATAACTAGTAGCAATAGAAAGCATTTCATAAGTAGAATTCCATCGGGTTTTGCAATCAAGTGCTAACTTTCTACTACACTCACGAGCTATTTGCTTAGCCACTTGTTCAAACCTTTGTACTCTCTTATCAGAAGCAGTCCAAAACACAACACTATCCCTGATTCTTTGAACACCATTTGATACCACAGCACTTAAACCATCTTGAACAATCAAATTTAATATGTGAGCACAACAACGCATATGAAAAAAATCACCTCGCAATAAAAGTGAGCCATATGGAAACACTCCTTTCAAAATTTCCATCATTGCATCATTAGTTGAACAATTATCCACGGTTATAGAAGACAACCTAAGATCAAGATTCCATGATTGAATGCTTTCTTTCAAAGCATCAGCAAGAACCTCAGCAGTATGAGGGGCGGGGACATATAAAAACCTACCAAAACCAATGAAAATAACATATATTATTTGTCTATTCAATACTATTGTGGATATATGGGCTCATTATTATCATCTATCATCATAACTTATAATTCTTATAATTTTAAATTTCACACAAAAAACTATAGCAATACAAAGACAACCAAAAAAAAAAAATCATAAGTAACCAGAAAACGATACCTTATGATCCGACTTTGCAACTTCCATGTATTATCAATAAAATGTGAGGTGACCGCCATATAACCTTTTCTCTGGTTGTCAGCTGTCCACATGTCAGTAGTTAAGGCAATCTTACCCTTTGCTTTCCTCAACAAGGTTGCAACATTATCCTTCTCAAGCTCATATCTTTTCATAATATCTTTTCTAGTTGTGTTGCGAGACGACACTTTAAATCCAGGTTGGAGTGTCTTGCTATATTTTCTAAAACCAATATGCTCAACCATGCTAATTGGATACTCATGCAAAATAATCATCTCTGCCAAGTCTCTTCTTCCATCTTCTTGGTGGAATTCATAAGGAGCCAATGTCATCGTGTCATTCTTATCATTCAAGTTTTTTTTTGTACCAAACATTCTTGTTTGTCGAAGATCTTGACATACTCTCTTTGGACATATTTTTATATGATCTTTCAAATGAGTAGTTCCTGCTTTTGACCCACCAGCAAGTAGCTTAGAGCAATGGTTGCACTCAGCTTTTATCACATCACCAACTCTCTTTCTCTTAAAGTCAGACCACACTGCCGAAGTATGCCTACTAGTAATTGGTAGGAGAGAAGGATCGGAATTAGTCTCCAGAGGAATATCATCATCATCTAATGCAATTGGAGTATTACTAGCTGAAGTGGGAACACTAGCATTATTCTCATTTTTTGATGTCATTCTCCCCTATAAAAATTAAATAAAGACAATTAATGCACTAGACATATTGACTGCAGTATTGAACACATTTAATATCTCAGAAACAGCAATAATAATAGCAATGCACAACAGCACAGCCGCACAGGGCACAGGCAGTCAGGCAGATCATGCTTCTAGCACAGCTTCTATAATTGGTGAGCCCAAACATAAAATAAATAAATAAATAAATAAATAACCATTTGAAGTTTTGTTCACTACTATAAGCTTCTGCTGCACCTTAGTGTTAAAGAAGTGAGAATTATTGCAAATTGCATCAATATTTTATGTCCTATATTTTGCAATGAATTGCATGGTCATGAAACTATGAAAGTATGCATTTTCTGTCATACATATTTACAATTCAGAAAATGGTAGTCCCAAGTTACATATAATGCTGATGTATGATGCAAATTTGATTATGAAATAAATAATTTTATGGTTAAAAGACATCCAGGGAGTTGACAATTTTGTTAGATTATGAAATAAGTTTCCCCACATACTTGATACTCCCTAATCCCTATATTAATAATGTCACCCCAATAGAGATTCCTGGACCTGACAACTTTAGTTAATATAGGCTTTTGCCGACTAAATTAGGTTTATGAACAAATATGATTTATAACAAAAGAACTTCATCAAACGTTCATAGCCAAAAGGTAAAACCATAAACATTATGGGAAATCAATTACTAATTTTAAATCTTTATACAACAATATGAATAAAAATACACACACACATACTAGCAGTACAATTAATAGAAACAACATGCATTTACCTTTCGAGATGTATCAGAAAAACCTGTTTTAGGAGTAATTTCAATAGGGCTAAATGGCTAATGACAGTGGTCTGTGAAAAAAAAAAGGGAAACAAAGTTAATACAATTGAATTCAAGTAGATCAAACAAAAACGTAAAAATTTATCAAGTAAATTGACGAGAAATATACCGGGTTGAAGACGAAGATCCGATTGCACACGAGGTTGAAGAAGAAGAATCGAAGAGAGGGGTGTGAGTGTGTGACCATGCGTGGAAGTAGATTGAGAGGAGAGAGTGAGAGGAATTCTGAGAAATTAGGGTTTTTGTTTTTTGAGAATGAGGGATTGAGGCATTTGAGGGTGGGCACTGGCAGTGGGCTACTGGGCTGGGTAAGTCAGTACAATTAGCACAATTTTTTTTTTTTTTATGATTTTATCGCATTAATCACTTATCTTACGCATGTATGGGTCGGGTATAAAGCGGGTATGGCTCGGGTATGGGGTGGGGCGGGGCGGGGAGGGGCGGGTACGGGGTGGGTCAGGCGGGGCGGGGCGGGGCGGGTGTGGGGCGGGTCTAGGCGGGGCGGGTATTACATAAAAACCATCCCCGCCCCATCACCCATGGCGGGTATGGATTTTAGACCCATCCCGCCCGCGACCCGCCAAAGCTAGACCCATCCCCGCCCCATCGGGGCGGGGATGGGGCGGGTCTCCTATTAGACCCGCCCCACTGACATCCCTATTTCAATTCATTCAAAGTTTTTGTAGATGGATTAATAAGTCTCATTTACAAATTAAACCTAAGCCTCACACCATATCCAAAACTCCAAAAGCATACTTTTCACATCACCAAACTAGATCTTGATGAAAGAAGCAACAGACTTAACTTCTCATATCATATACTTCTCATACAATATCAATCAAGTCTAGTGGCGAAGCTAGAATGTTTTATTAGGGTGGCCAAACACTCTATGTTCTAAGACATATATTCATATTCCAACCCTTTTAACAACATTAGAAGTATCCTTTAAGCTTGCAAAATACTTCGTATATATATAGATAAAATCTCACTACTATTACGTTACTCTACTAGTACTCTTTAAAGCTTTAAGCAAAGTATTCCATATAAATCTAAGCTAAGAATCAATAAAAATAATCATTTATACATATATATAAAGCAAAATAAAATAAAATCAAAAGAAGATCACAACCGAGAGGGGAAAAAACACGCCCAAAAAAGGCATAAAATCGAATTAACTAATTTAATAAATATTAATACTTTTTTGTTTCTTTTTTTTTAAACTAAATGTGAATTGGAAAACGTATACAACTTGTGCATGACAAACGTGAATACTCCAATGTACACAACCACATACAAGAAAAAAAAACCAATAAACGCTCTGTTCTCTCTCCTCCGTTCACACAAAAAACCCCATTTGAAACCTAGAACTCACCAAAGTTCCGGCGCCGCGGCCGGTTCTCCGGCGAGTTCCCTTTCCTTTTTTTTCAAGTATTATACTACTCGTGTTCTAGTTTGGTGAAGTTGAAGCGTAACCAAGCTCCATGAAGAGCTTCGAACTCCGTTTAGTGCTACCCTCTTCTCACCGGAAAGGTTAATTGTTACCGTCAGTTTTCCGATAGATAGACGAGGAAGCCTTGTTCCACCAGGAATTCTCGCCGCTTAGAAGAAGGATCTAGGTTCAGATTTGTGTGTTCAGGGGACGAAATTGACAATTTTAGGGGTCTTGGGCAAACTCTAACGCCGCCGTCGGGGGGTTGCCGGAAAAAAGGAAATCGCGACGGTGTTTGGTGAAGTTAGGGTTTCGTAGATTTCTTGAGCTCAGTTTCAAAATTCTCTGTTCTGGTTATCTTCTTTGGTTTTGGCGAGTTTCGAAATTGCTCTGAAGTTGGCTCTGTAAGTCTTCGTTCTCCTTAGTTCTTCTTATTTTGAAGCTAGTATGTTAAGGTTCGTTTGGCATTGATGTGGTTTTCTATTTTTTGGCTTTTTGTTTTTAAACTCATATGATATATGTCATATAATGAAATAAAGATTAGTTAAACTTATTAAAATCATTATAATTTTGAAATCTGACAACAGAAAAGTGAAAACAACTTTTTCTTGTTTTCTGTTTTTGGTTTTGTGTTTTAAAAATAAAAACAGAAAACTAAAAACAATAAACGATGCCAAACAAGCCCTTAGTTTTGAGTTTAAGTTTCTGTTGTGAGGTTGGATGTCTCCCCTTTTGTTTTGTTGGATTGTTTTTTTTTTTTCTTCTAATGTGTCCCTGTTTGGTTTCTAGTTGGATGGCCATGGTGGGCTTGTCCAATCTTGAAGTGGTAAGGGGAAGTTATTTTGGGTTAGACTCTAGGTATTGGGTGGTGGGGAGGAAAAATGCCCTGCCCTTCGCCTTTGTTTCATGTCTGGGATTTGGAGCAGTTGGTCTCCTTGTTGTAGTCAGTTTTAGCTTATGCTTCCTTGGCAGTGGGTTTGCCTTGAAGAACAAGTTGGGTGAAAGTCATTTGTTGATGGCTCTTCAGCTATTAGGTTTGCGAGTGTACGACTTGAAGGTTTGGTGTTTTGTTTCATCGTCAATTGGCTCTAATTTTGATAATTGGAGTTCTTTCAATGTTTTCAGGTCTATGATGGGTTTTGTACTCATTACATTCAAATTTTCAAATCTGTACGCTACTCCCATATTATTTGGGGTTCATAGTATGCTACCAATCATGAATTTCTTTCCTTTAAAAGAGAGAAATCAAGTTACTTGTTACCGTGATATTACCTTCCTTTCGTTTCTTGCTTTGGTTTTGTTTTCCAAGCTCCACAAGTTACAAAGAGTTTCTACCATGGTTAATTACCCAAGCTTCACCCTTGGTGGAAAAAGGACACCGGGAATAACATGTAATGTAGGCTTCGGCTCGCTAGAATCACGACAGTGTTGCCTACAAAGTGGTTCCAACACTCATGGGATAACTAAGAAAGCAGTTTCTTTTAAGTTGGTTTGTTATCTTGTGTTCATAAGAGAGTTACTTGTTACCGTGATATTACCTTCCTTTCGTTTCTTGCTTTGGTTTTGTTTTTCAAGCTCCACAAGTTAAAAAGAGTTTCTACCATGGTCAATAATTACCCAAGCTTCACCCTTGGTGGAAAAAGGACACCGGGAATAACATGTAATGTAGGCTTCGGCTCGCTAGAATCACGACAGTGCTGCCTACAAAGTGGTTCCAACACTCATGGGATAACGAAGAAAGCAGTTTCTTTTAAGTTGGTTTGTTATCTTATGTTCATAAGAACAAGTGTTGCTCGTAGCTTTGTTATTGTAAAGGTCTTAATAGGCCTAATTCTTATTGTTTTAGCTAACTCTTTCAATATACGCAAATTAATCCTTTGTCAAAAAAAAAGAGAGAAAAAAATAAAATAAAAAAATACAGGCATACATCCATGTACAAATGATTAAACAAGAAAACTTGGAAACGTATGTAGTATTCCCTCCGTCCCTTTATTAGAAGTCTATTTCTAATATTTATTACTCACATAATAAAGAGAAATAGGCTTCTAATTTAGGGACGGATGGAGTAATTACTAATTAATAAGAATAAAAAAATAGTCAATAAGATTACCTTAGTAATGTACGTACACTTTATGCCAAGCCCACTATAAACTAATCAAGGGTTTCCTCGGCCCTTAGGAACTATCTTAGATGCCTCCTAGGATTGCATGTCTCGGCCCAAGCTACACTTCATCAAGTGAAATGAAATGAAATCAACAAATATTAATATTACTACAGTACTACGTATAAGAAAGCAAGCAACTACAAAGTCTAAAATCGATTCTTTAATTTGAGCCAATTATTTGATTAAACTTCAAGCTATTACTTTATGGATTATCATGATTTTTAATGAAACCAGTAACAATTAACTTGTTAGTAAAGAATAAATCAATCAACACATCATCATGACGAGGGGTTGTGATAGTGTATATTTCATATAAATCAATCTTGAAATTAAACTATTAGTTTGATAGACCCCTAAACAGGCTTTCATGTGAGGGAGTACTTCGTATTAAGTTAACCTAACTTTGAATACGAGTAAGGCATGTTTAGTTCGCCTTATTTTTACTTAATGTAGAAAAAATAAGTTCAGATCAGAAAAAATAAGTTCAAATCATTTAAAAAAAAAAAGTTCTAACACACTTTAATTTATCGTATAACGTGCGCCTATACGATTTTTTTATCGCTAAATTAAATATCTTTAATTTTGTAATGAAAAAAATTATGAAAATTACAAACTACATTTGTTTTATATTATTTGCAAGGATTTGACATAAAGTGTAAGTAAAAAATGTCTAATCGTTGCAAATAATATGAAACGGAGGTAGGCCCCGTTCATTTCACCTTATTTTGCTGAACTGAAATTATTTTTATTGAATTGAAATTATTTTTGCTGAACTAAAATTAATTTTACTGAACTGAATTTATATTTGTTGAACTGGAATTAGTTTTACTAATTTTCTATTATATTTGTTCTTTAAAGTTACTGAAAAACTGAACTTATTTTTACTGAACTGAACTTATATTTATTGAACTAAAATTATTTATTGAACTAAAATTATTTTTAATTAATATTTTTTTTAAGGTAAAGTGAACAGAGCCGTAGTATTAATAAAATAAAGATTATTAAGAATCTAGCAAGACTCGATAAATCTTTATTTATTAATTATAGTATAAGTAAGATCAAAATTTGGTCAAATTAGACAATCAGATTAAATCAAATCAATAAAAATGACGTGAACTAAACAAACCCTAAGTTTGAAAACTTAATCCTCTGATAATCACCCCTATTCCGACCTCTCCCGATTGGACCTCTAGTTTTTTACTCGAAAAGGGTGGCTTAACCAACGAAAGACAGCAAACCCGAAACCTATTCTAACACGCGCAATTTTTTATTTAAAAAAAAAAAAAAAAAAACAAGTGCTACATCGTATCGTATTTCTTACATTTGGTCCAAAAAAAACACCATAGTCAATCTCCCAACACTTTACTTGTCAACGAATCTTTCTCCTCCTAGATCTGCAATCCAATCTTCCCAATTCATGACATTCATCTGAATCAATCGATTCGCTGAGTCTAACGAGTCAGTGACTCAGCCATGGCGGACATCTCCGACTCAGCGGTGTCTATCCGAGTCCCCTATAAACACCTCAAGCAAACTGCTGATGTTGAAATGGTTGATTTTGATCATAATTCTCCCAACATTTCTAGGGTTGTTAATGGCGATTCGCCGGAAATTCACCGGCATTCGTCGGATTCGAGATCGGAGAAGAATAGTTTGATGAAATTGATACTCAGTTGTACGGTTGCCGCCGGTGTTCAGTTTGGTTGGGCGCTTCAGCTTTCTCTTCTCACTCCTTACATTCAGGTCTTTTTTTTTCCTTAATTGTTGTTATAAGTTCAGTGTAATGCTATTTTATATCATAATTGTATAATATTTTATGTGATTTTATGATTGTTATTAGAGATTGGAATTGAATTATTGTGGAATTAGGGTTAGGGATTGAAATTTCGTGTTTTTGTAGTGAGATTATGGAGTGTTGCACTGTTGCAGTGGATAATTGTGGTGGAATTGTGGAATGTTTGATAAGGAGTTGTTCCTTATTTTTTAAAGTTTTGTGGATGAAATTTGAGAAATTATGGTTTGGATTAGCTAGTTGAGGAATGAAGTGGTGAAAGTGGAATGGGATCACATGGCTTTGTCGAAAAGGTTGCCTCTTTGTTATTGTTGATAAGTATATTAGGTGACTCGTACTTCGTAGCTTTGTCCGCCCGATCGGGCGGACATTGCCCGGTCTGACCGGGCGGAAGAAGAAGAGGTGCCTGGCAAATTCGTTGAAGAAGCTGCTCTCGCGCCCGACCGGGCGAGCCTTCGCCCGACCGGGCGAGCCTTCGCCCGATCGGGCAGACCTTGCCCGGTCTGACCGGGCGGTGGGGGTTGGATACGTTGAAGCATTCGTATGGAGTTTTCTTCTCGCGCCCGATCGGGCAGACCTTGCCCGGTCTGACCGGGCGGAGAAGGAAAAATACGGAACGCGGATTTTGCGGTTTTAGGTTATCTTATTTTATTATCTTTTTGCCCAAGTATCTTTTAATTAGGGATTAATATAAAACCTCCCTAATATCAGTATTAGGGTTAAGAGAGACAGAGTGAGAGCCGTTCTTGAGAAATACAAGAATCATCTTTGTAATCTTTGCAGTTTATAGTGAAATCATTCGATCTCGGTGCCCGTGGACGTAGCTATCACATCGATAGTGAACCACGTAAATTCTTGGTGTTGTTCTTATTGTTTGCATTGAATTTCTTTATTGTTTTCTTGTTTGTTTACGACCTTTGCTTCCGCTGTCGCACAACAATTGGTATCAAGAGCTCAGGTTCAATCCTTGGAGAGTTTCTTGAAGATAACAATGGCAGGAGATTCAACAATAAGAATTGAGAAGTTTACCGGGAAAAATAGTTTCGGGCTATGGCAAATTAAGATGAAGGCTCTGTTAAAACAACAGCAGATATGGCGTCCGTTGGCTCCAAAGAGTACTACTTCGGAGTCAGGAGACGGACCGACTGACTCGCAGTTAGAAGTTATGGAAGAGAAGGCACACTCTACCATATTACTTAGTCTTGATGATCAAATCATCACGGAGGTTGCTGATCAGGAAACGGCGGCTGGATTGTGGCTGAAGCTGGAGTCATTGTATATGACTAAGTCGTTGACCAACAAATTATTACTGAAACAGCGGTTGTTTAGCCTCCGGATGCAGTCAGGTACTTCCTTACGGGAACATCTAGAAAAACTTAACTCTATTTTGCTTGATTTACGTAATTTAGATGTTAAAATTGATGATGAGGATGCTGCGTTGATTTTACTTGTATCTCTACCGTCTAGCTTTGAGAATTTTGTAGAGTCTTTTGTTGTTGGTAAGGATTCTATAACCTTAGAAGAAGTGAAGGCAGCACTTCATACTAGGGAACTCAGAATGAAAGCTACGAGTGATAATGGGGATAATGGTAGTGGGTTATTTGTTAAGTCCGGAAAGTCTAAAAAGAATAAGGGGTTTAACAAGGGGAACAATGCTGGGTCGGGTGCTGGAAACGGCAAGGATGGATCTAGTAAAACTACTACTAAAACATGTTATTACTGTAAAGAACCGGGTCACTTTAGGAATAATTGTCCGGTGAGGAAAAACAAGTCCCAGGCTGCTGTAGTTGAAGAGAAACCGAATGAGAGCTATAATTCAGAGGAAGATTTAGCATTAGTCAGTTCTGCTAGGTCTGATGATTTATCTGATAACTGGGTTCTAGATTCGGGGTGTTCGTTCCATATGTGTCCACGTCGAGATTGGTTTGATACATATGAACCTCGCAATGGGGGTATGGTTATAGTCGGTAACAATGCTCCATGTAAGGTCACAGGTATTGGTTCCATGAGGTTGAGGACTGTTGATGGGCGGAGGTTAACTTTGACTAATGTACGGCATGTTCCTGCTTTAGGAAAGAATCTGATTTCATTGGGTACCCTGGATGAATTGGGGTACAATGGTGTGTTTTCAGATGGGGAGTTGTGTATTTTCAGAGGTTCTGAGTTGGTACTTAAGGGTATCAAAAGGAACACCCTCTATGTTTTTGAGGGTGTTACACTGCCTAGTTCTGCGGTTTGCGCATCTGTATCTCACCAGGAGATGACTAAGATTTGGCACATGAGGCTTGGTCATATGGGGGAGAAGGGGATGCAGCTATTGTCCAAGAGGGGTCTTCTATCCGGGGTCAAGGTTGCCAACCTTGAATTTTGTGAGCATTGTGTGTTTGGTAAGAAACACAGGTCAAAGTTCAGCAAGGGTGCTCACATTACTGATGCAGTGCTCGATTACATCCATTCAGATTGCTGGGGTCCATCTAGAGTTGAAGGTATGGGAGGTTACCACTATTTTGTGTCATTTGTTGATGACAAGTCCCGATACACATGGCTTAGGTTGCTTAAGTCAAAGGATGAGGCCTTCAAAGTTTTCAAGCAATGGAAAGCTTTGGTGGAAAATCGACAAGGAAGGAAGATCAAGAAGCTACGAACGGACAATGGGCTAGAGTTTTGCAAAGACGAGTTTAATCAGTTCTGTGCAGATGAGGGTATAGGTCGGCATCATACTGTCAGGAAGACACCACAGCAGAACGGTGTAGCAGAACGGGTTAATCAGACACTGCTAGAGAGAGTTCGATGCATGCTCTCTAATGCAGGGCTTGGGAGGAGGTACTGGAGTGAAGCTGTGTTAACAGCTTGTTATGTCATTAATAGGGGTCCTCATTCTGGAATTGATTCCAAAATTCCGTTTGAGATCTGGAGTGGTAAGTTGCCTAATTTTTCGAATTTGAAGATTTTTGGTTGTGTTGCTTATTATCATGTTATTGAGGGTAAGCTGGATCCACGAGCCAAGAAGGGGTGTTTTGTTGGGTACGGGGATGGTGTGAAGGGGTTTAGAATTTTTTCACCTTCGGAGGGTCGGGTCATTCTTAGTAGGGATGTTACTTTCGATGAAAACACCATGTATTCAATTAAAAATGCAGAGATTTCAGATTTGAGAAGGGAAGGAGACAATTTATTACAGACAGATGGGGTACTTGAGGTACATCAGTCTACCATTGCTGATTTACCTCGGGTACAATATATTGATGATGATGCTGATGTTCCAGTGCCGGGTACTCCTGAACCTGAGATTACTCCTACTCATTCTAACTCTGGGGATGAGGTGGAGCAATCTAATCAGGGGTCATCTAGTCAACCTGACACCATTCTTGAGATGCCTAAACGAGTTATCAAGAAGCCTGTTAGATTGATTGAAGAGATGGAGGGAAGAAATTGCTGTGTTGATGCGATGACAGGTTATGCATTGAGTGTAGCTGATGATGTAGAGTCATTTGAACCTGCCACATATAAACAAGCAATTAGTTGTAGTGAGTCTGCGCAATGGCTTGCCGCAATGGGTGAAGAGATGCAGTCCCTTTACAAGAACAGAGTGTGGGAACTGGTAAAGGTACCGGAAGGGAGGAAGCTTGTGGGTTGTAAATGGATTTACAAGAAGAAAGAAGGGTTGTCGGAAACTGAGCAAATACGTTTTAAGGCTAGGCTAGTTGCTAAGGGGTTCAGTCAGGTAGAAGGGGTTGACTTTGTTGAGATATTCTCACCTGTGGTTTCGACATACTTCTATCCGTGTGTTATTGTCAATTGTAGCACATTTTGATCTTGAGCTGGAGCAGTTGGATGTTAAAACGGCCTTCCTTCATGGCGATTTGGAGGAGGAGATTCTGATGAAGCAGCCCGAAGGATTCGAAGCTCCTGGAAAGGAACACTATGCCTGCAGATTGCTAAAGTCATTGTATGGACCTAAGCAATCCCCCCGACAGTGGTACAAAAGGTTTGATTCTTTTATGGTTTCACAAGGTTTTGACAGGAATTCATATGATTGCTGTGTGTATCATAGTAAGCTGGATAATGGTTCCATGATTTATCTTTTGTTATATGTTGATGACATGTTGGTTGCCACAAAGAATAAATCTGATATTGCTAGATTAAAGGAGATGCTTAACTCGGAGTTTGACATGAAAGACTTGGGTGCAGCTAGGAAGATTTTGGGTATGGAGATCTACAGGGATCGGGCTAGAGGTAAGCTTTTCTTGACTCAGAAAAGCTACATTGAAAAGATTCTGTCTCGTTTTGGGATGGAAAAATCGAAGCCTATAAGTACGCCAACTACTGTTAGTTGTAAGTTGTCTTTGTCTATGTCACCTCAATCAGAGGAGGAGTTGTCTTATATGTCTAGAGTTCCATATGCAAACGCGGTTGGTTGTTTGATGTATGCTATGGTCTGTACTAGGCCGGATATTGCGCATGCTGTTAGTGTTGTAAGCAGGTTTATGGCTCGACCTGGGAGGGAACACTGGCAAGGGGTGAAAAGGATTTTTCGCTACCTGAGAGGGACAGCTGATATTGGTCTTGTGTACGGGAATGATAAGGAATGCTTGGTCACTGGGTACAGTGATTCTGATTATGCAGCTGATGTGGATACCAGGAGGTCTGTGACTGGTTATGTGTTCACTTTGGGTGGTTCTGTGGTTAGTTGGAAGTCTACATTGCAGTCATCAGTTACGTTGTCAACTACTGAAGCTGAGTATATGGCTTTAACTTCTGCAGCTAAGGAGTCTATTTGGCTCAAAGGCCTAGTAGGTGAACTGGGTATTGCACAGGATTTTGCTACAGTGTATTGTGATAGTCTAAGTGCGATTTGCTTAGCTAAAGATCAAGTACACCATGATCGGACGAAGCACATTGATGTCAGGTATCATTTCTTACGTACTGACAAGAGGATTAAGGTGAAGAAGATTGGGACTGCTGACAACCCGGCTGATTTCTTCACTAAGCCTGTTCCGTTTAGCAAGTTTAAACATTGCTTAGACTTGCTAAATATTGATTACTACGTGATGTAGTAGGCCCTGAGGGGCGAAGTTGGGGAGCTCCTGGTGTAGGTGTGTTGGCATTAAGGTGGAGCTTGCCCGGGGCTTGTGATGCAGGTGGAGCATTATGAGTTGTTATACTTGGAGACGAGTATGTGATGGGTCTTGGTTGAAGACTTATCGGGATGTATGGCTTATGCATGAGTCTTGCATCGGGTTTGGCTTGAGATGTTTTTTCACTATGTCTTGATGGGGTCGTTTGCTGACTACGAGTTCTCGTCAAGGTGGAGATTGTTGATAAGTATATTAGGTGACTCGTACTTCGTAGCTTTGTCCGCCCGATCGGGCGGACATTGCCCGGTCTGACCGGGCGGAAGAAGAAGAGGTGCCTGGCAAATTCGTTGAAGAAGCTGCTCTCGCGCCCGACCGGGCGAGCCTTCGCCCGACCGGGCGAGCCTTCGCCCGATCGGGCAGACCTTGCCCGGTCTGACCGGGCGGTGGGGGTTGGATACGTTGAAGCATTCGTATGGATTTTTCTTCTCGCGCCCGATCGGGCAGACCTTGCCCGGTCTGACCGGGCGGAGAAGGAAAAATACGGAACGCGGATTTTGCGGTTTTAGGTTATCTTATTTTATTATCTTTTTGCCCAAGTATCTTTTATTTTAGGGATTAATATAAAACCTCCCTAATATCAGTATTAGGGTTAAGAGAGACAGAGTGAGAGCCGTTCTTGAGAAATACAAGAATCATCTTTGTAATCTTTGCAGTTTATAGTGAAATCATTCGATCTCGGTGCCCGTGGACGTAGCTATCACATCGATAGTGAACCACGTAAATTCTTGGTGTTGTTCTTATTGTTTGCATTGAATTTCTTTATTGTTTTCTTGTTTGTTTTCGACCTTTGCTTCCGCTGTCGCACAACAATAATAATAATAAAAATCTTAATAAAATGAACTGCAACTGTTCCATGTACAGTAGGAACCACATATGTACCATGATACCATCCATGGTATAATTTTAGTATTTTACTATTTTAGATACCTTAATACGCAAGGTAGAATTTGAAATTTTACAGCTTATGTAATTCTGTTGATAACTCATAAAACCCAAATAAGTAATGCTGCTATAAAAAATAGTTCTGCAGAAAGTTTGAGACGAAAAAAGAAATTAATCCAGAGTTGACCTACTACTTTTGAGTGTGTGCTCTTTTTTTCAGTCTGCTGGTTGATCTATCTGATCATTTATGCCCTTTCAGTAAATAGTAAATTCATGTTTTCATCTTAAGTAAGAGATAAAAGTGAAAATGTCATGTTGAATCATACTCTCTCTGTCTCTATTTGTTCTTTTTAATTGAAATTTTGAGACGTAGAAAAAGTCAAAGTAGGAAGAACATATAGAGACGAAAGGAAGTATCATTTTATTTACTCGTATTGCACCTTTGTAGCTTAGACCTTGCTTCCAGTCCAGCTTTTAGATGTATGAGGCATTTTTACTTGTCATTAGTTCAGCAAATGTGATTATTAACGTAGTTCGTATCAAATTAGGGTAAATCCAATCATTTGTCTATGATCCTGTTACTCTGATAGAATCATTTATGTGCGCCCTAATTACACTACCATTTTGTTCTTTAAAGCCTAACCTTAGACTAGAGGTGCCAAAGTGGTCTTTCGGATCATATTCCATTTGGTCTAATATTGTTTGAGTCGCATTTTGAGTGAATAGTCAATGGTTCGAGTATGGTTTGTTTTAGATCAATTTTGGAATGAATCATCTTCATACCTATTGACTATTAATTTTCTACTCTGTGAAAAACCAATCTAAAGCTCCAAATAATATCAAGTGATACTGATTTTGCGTAGGTCTGTGTTTAGGTAAGATAATCGGATACAAGTTAGTTCCATCAAATCTTATTACAATCCGTTGTAAATTGATACTCTATTACATACTTGCTATCAATCTTGATTCCCTTAACCATACAATATCGTGTTATTACAAGTATTACACTAGTCAGTAGCATACATTGTTTCCCGCTTTCATGACAATTGATTACAAAAAAATCTGAATCTAAGTATCTAACAGAGTAACGGCAGATATCAAATGTAAAAAGTTAATCAAAGAATGTGTGAACGCCTATAATAATACTGTTCTAATGCTCACCACCTAGCATACATATTCTTCTGTTGTTTTATAAAGTAACTGATGATAAATCAGCTCGTTCCAGCATCTGGAACACCGGGAAGACACCAATGACTGCAATCTTCTGACGATCCCTTCTTTCCTGGGTTTTTCCCATACTTGGAAGGATGACCATCAATCCTATATGACGATAATCCTGTTACATTCACAAATGTAACAGAAGTTTTCATCGTATTGATGACCTCCCGAGCAATATGATCTTTATCAAGATTGTCTATGTACATTTCATTTAGTGGCCTCCTTGCTTCTCTACAATGCCCGCCAGTATTCCATTGCCCTCCTCTGTTCAGCAAACCAGACAGGTTGTTAAAGTGAAAAGGTTCACTGCAACCTTTGATGCACATACTCTTATGTAAGTTATATGTTAGTGTAGAGAACCAACCTGAAATGAGCTGGTGCTGTACTTCGAAAGAAAACCTGGGTTGTGTGAGGATTTATATATCTATCGACCCATGTCGCCCACGTCAGAAGAGCTTTTTTGTAAGCTGCTATAGCATCAAGGTGTGGATAAACTTGCTTACCTTCCTGGTAATAGTTAATCCTTCATGCAATTGCATTGTTTAGTACAAATTCAGAAAGGCATAATAGAAAGTCCTAATTCGTACATAAGATACTAATAACTTTGAGAGAATTGAGACAATCCTTAACGAAAGTCTTAAATTATTACTCCACTTGGAATCAGTAATCACATTGTCACAATCCCTTGTGATTCGGGGGAAAATAAATCCTTTCGATGTTTTCATTCCCTTCCCAATCATAATTGTTGCTATTTTAGGAGATGTGACAATTTTATTATAAATGCGATTCATAATTCCTAATAGTGCTGATGCTTTCCAATCTGAACTCAACAAGTATTAAACAGTCTATTTCAATATTTCATAAAAATTAACTCACCCTGCTTTTGTCTTGAAATGAGTCCACCAATTTCCAGTGTTAAAGATGAAGATATCAGCTCCTCTCCATTTTGCTGAATCTCTATTTATGCTATCAATTCGCAAACTTTCCTTACGCTTCCTACCCATCCTCACCTTGCTTCACGCACTAAGAAATGGGTCACATAGAATTCAACTGTGCACTGATAATCCTAAATTGCCAAATCACCAGAGTAATAATCAGCTCAGATATTCTATGAAAACTAAGGAAACGAATCGAAACAAGGAGGATCAATTTATAGAAACACAAAAGTACTGAAGGAGCTGAGTACATACCACAAATTTGAAACTATAAGCCCCTCTATTCTTAGTAATCCTTCGACCTCGTGTCTCATACACCCTAGTGGGATCTTTAACAGCACTCGTCAATAAACAAAGCAATGATTCCCATTGATTCCTATTAATTGAATCACCAGCAAAGACTAGCCTCTTTCCTCTAATCAATTCCAGCATATTTGTTGCATTGAACCTAACATTTGAATCAAAGAGTATTATTTTCAAACAGTCCAAATCCTAGCTTAGCAATTAGCACATACAGCTACCATACAAAATCAAAATTTCTGTTTTACCTACAAAATAAACATCTACAATTCCTTGGATCAAAATGTCATAAAACACGAAAACGCTTCATAAAATACTCGAGTCTAACACTTGAACACGTACTCATTTCGTAAACAACAATGCAAGTCCGAGTAACAACTTAGCTTTCATTTACAAATGATTGCAAAAGGGATTATCAATTACAAATTAACAATACCTTGGAATGTCACAATCTTGAGGTTGCCATCTCCACTTCATGTAATCTTTGTCCCACCTCCCATTTCCTTGGCAACTAATCAAAAGTTAGTTTTTGCCCTTCATTTAATAACAAATAAATCTATTATTAGTGATCACTTGAATTAAAATCATATTAGCCCTAAATCAAACTATTAATTATCTTATTAGACGTGATTTCAAGTACAAATTCCTTTTAAACCTGCAAAAAGGGGCGTGATCAAGCAATAACAATCAATCATGAATAATCAAGTAACATAATTATTGACACAACAAATCATCATCATAATCAAAATCATAATCGATATAATCATAATCTCATCAAACATGATTTATAGCAAGATCCTAGGCTTACTAAACGGATTAGTAACAAACCCTTGCATGTCACTAATAATAAAGATCAAAGCATTAACCTAAACATGATACTAGAAACATGATATTAGAAATATTAATTAACACCCTAAACATAATACTAGGAATTAAAAAAATAATATTAGGGAGATCAAATTACTCACTTTGATGTCTCGTATTATCTCTTTCTATCAAAACAATACACATGTTAGTAACTTCAAGAAAGATTAAATCAAATAAATCAAGATTTGGGACCAAGCCCTCAGAATTATCAACCTTTCACGTCGAAGTCAAAGGCAACTTCGAGATTGGCTAGAGATATTCAAGGCTCGTGAAGGAGGTATGGTGTTTGCTTGGGAAAAAAGAATATCAAGAAGGTGTTGGGATGTGGTTAGGCTAGGCTAAGAAAATAAAGAATCAAGAGAGAGAAAGAATTAGAGAAGGGATCTGATGATGATCGTTGGTGATCAAGCTTGTTGATGATTGAAAATGGGGTGAAACGACCTCTATTTATAAGTAAAAAAGAGGGTCGAAGGATCAGAAAAGAGTCAGAAATTAAATCAAAGTAAAACAGGTTCCATCGCGGCGCGACAGCCTTGTCACGACTCGATGACCCTGCAATTTTGCGAATTTTGTTTTTTTTTTTTTATAACTTTTGATCCAGAAATTGGAATAAGATAAATAATATACCGTTGGAAAACTCTGGAAGTCTACTTTCCAACACAATTAGAATCAAATTGATATCTTTTGTAGAATAAAATATATGGTCGAAATAGTGGGATAGTGTCAATTTTGGATAGAGTTTGGTATTTTATTCATATCTTTTTCGTTATAGCTTGGAATTGGGATTATGACATATCATTGAAAAGATAATTTCAAGGGATATCCAACCATCCAAGATTTGGATAAAAATTATGAGGCAAAAAAATCATATATGAACGTCTTTGAATTCAAATAGAATAAGGATTTTCAAAAGAGAAGTTTTATTCAATTTCAAACTCTTTGATCTTTATCTTTCGAAAAGGATAGATTAGAACCATATAAAGACTTCTAGAAGTTCCTAATGAATCCTAATTGGTTTAGGAGTGGGATTAAGGTATTGGACCCTCCACATGATCATTGGGTCGTAGGTATGATGGACCTAGGTCCGGTTTGGACTCGTTTTAGTATTTTGGCCATAACTTATTCGTTATAAGTCGTATTTGGGCTTATAATATATCGTTGGAAATTTCTTTTCAAGCCCCATACAACTAAACAACAATTGGACCAGAATCATGGACCAAAATAACTGGTTTGGACGATTTTATAAAGATGACACGAAATGGATGATTTTGAGGGACACGAAATAAATGATTTTGGGTTAAAACATTTTAGGAAAGGTTATAAATGGTCAAGGCTAAAGGGAATTCACGAGAATCTTCAACTCTTCACCTAACTCGATAATCAAAGACGTGAAAGGTACTCATCATTGGGTTTGGTTTTTGGGGAGACATAATCAGGTGTCTACACACGGGCTCTATGTACACTACTAGAAATAGGCTTATTTCCGACGAAATTGCTCCGACGGAATAAAATTCCCTCGCAAAATTCAAAATTTCCGATGGAAATCGGAGTTGTTGGAAAAATCCGTCGGAATATTCAGGTTCCGACGGAATATTCCCTCGGAATCTTCAAGTTCCGAGGGAATATTCCGTAGGAAAATAATTTCCGACAGAATATTCCGTCGCAACCTGGATATACCGAGGAAATAATTTCCGTCGGAAGGCAACAACAATTAAAAAAATAAGGCGAGTTGCGACAGAAACAGAACAGCAACAGAACCAGAAACCAGAGAGAAAAAGGAAGAGCGAGAAAGAGGAAGAGGAAGAGAGAGAAAGGGAGAAAGAGAGAGAGGGAGAAGGAGATCGACGCCGGCACCACCATCCCGCTGCTGTACCGCCGCTGTTCCGCCGCCGGTAAGTGTAGCATTTTTGGTTTAATTTTATTTTTTTTACAATTTTGAGGAAAACCCTAACCACCACCATGTCACCTAGGGCTTACCGGAGTTCAACAGAACCACCCCCGAATTTTAGCACAACCACCAACACTCACAGCCGCCGCAGTTGGATAGTGGTAAGTGGTGTTTGTTTGTTTGGTTTTTTTTTCGGGTTTTTTGGGTGTTTTTTCTTAATTTTTTTTTTGGAGTTGTTACTAACAACCACCAACCCCACTTGAACACCCGCTGGCCAGTTTGCAACCATCACGCCCCCCAGCCGCCGCCGCCAGTAGGTACTCTTCCCCTTTTTTTTTTTGTTTATTTTTTAATATAAGTTCACATCATTTATTCATTTTTTTATACAAAATGCAAGCATAAACTTAAAAGCTAAAATTATAAATTTAGTTTATACTTTTATTTTTTGTTTGTAATTTGAATATTTGTAGGATTTGTAGCTTTACTTGGTTCTTTGGCAATAACAACTTCAGATCTACAGGTTAGAGAGTATTTAAAAGCTAAAATTATAAATTTAGTTTATACTTGGCATGTTAGTGACTAATGGTGTGTAGATATATGTTAGTTTATTATTGTTTTTAGTTATTGTATTTACAATTTGTTGTATTTATATTTTAATTTGTTGAAATATTTGAAATGAATGTGTTATGATATGTTAGTTTAGTTAAGTTTATTTAAGTTTAGTTTTTAATTATTGTATTATAACATGTTAGTTTAGTTTGGTTTAGTTTAGGGTAATAATGTATGTTAGTTTAGTTTATTTTAGTTTAGTTTAGTTTAGTTTATTATTTTAGTTTAGTTTAGTTTAGTTTAGTTTAATAAAGTGTATGTTAGTGTATTTAGTTTAATATTTTTGTTTGATATAATGTTTAATATAATATTTAATAAGCGTGCTTATTTATTTGCTTAGTTTAGTTTAATTATGATATATCTCTGTTTAGTAAAATGCATGTGTCCTTCACTTTATATATATAATAAATGAATCATTTGCATAATCATATGCCTAGATACCCGTTCAAGGCATACACATTAGGAGTATGTCTTGAATAGTCCCCGGTTGGGACTGTCCTTGTACGCTTATTCTCACTTAGGTGGTGAATGTAAGCCTTGTTTTTTATTCTAGGGAAAATCCTGCCTTTTCATGCATTTCTCTACCGTGTTCTCTAGGTACATATGTAGGTGTGTTTAATCGCCTACATCGTGTACTTGGAGAACTGTAGGGAAATGTTGGCGGTTTTTCCATAGAATTGAAAACCTGGGTTACATTCACTAGTGAAAATAAACGTACAAGGATGGGTTAGGTTGGAGTGATAAGGATCCTTTGGAAGCATTTCAAATCTCATTTGCATTTTCATAACGCTTTGGTGGATAATGACTACGAAATACGGTTTATGACTAATGTGATTGTACATATGCGTGAGCTGTGTAGAAGTTGTAATCATGAAACGAAGAGAACGTAGCTGGATGTATGAAAGGATGGTTGGGCAAAGTATTAATCCAGAGTTCGTGAAAGGGGTTGATGAATTCATTCAGTACGTCACAGATTATCCCGAGAGTAATAACCCGAATGAAGTTAGGTGTCCATGTGTTAAATGTAAGAAAAAACGCCTTTGGGATGCGTATACAGTTAAAATTCATCTGTATCGCAAGGGTTTCATACCTAACTACTATGAGTGGATGTGTCACGGGGAAGGGTATCCGGGAGTTCCCGAACGGCGGTCGAATGAATACCGTGACATGGTTTTCGATGCTTTTGGTCATAGTCAAGATCAGGGGCACTCAGATCAGGCTAGTGTTTCATCAGAGGAGGAGCCTAATGCAATAGCTAAGCATTTCCTGGATTTGTTGAAAGCTTCTGAAGGGCCATTATACGAAGGGAGTTCTTTGTCTGTGTTAGAGATGGCCGCTAGAATCACTAGTCTAAAGTGTGAGTATAATTTGCCTCACAGATGTGTTGATGGGTTTGCTTCTTTGCTAAGTGAGGCGATTCCGAACAACAGCCATATGGCCGACACTTTCTACGAGGTGAAGAAGATTGTGAAGGGGTTGGAATTGTCCCATCAAAAGATTTATGCATGCCCGAAAGGGTTTATGTTGTTTTGGAAGGATGATGCTCAGCTGTCTACATGTAGGGTGTGTGGCAGCGACCGATACAAGCAGACTTCCAAAGGTAGCCTAGTGCCTTTGAATGTTCTGTTTTATTTCCCGATCACACCTAGGTTGCAAAGACTGTTTGCAACCAAGAACATTTCGGAGGAAATGACATGGCATTCGAAAAATCCCCGAGTTCAAGGCACAATGGCACACCCTAGTGACAGTGAAGCTTGGAAACACCTCGATAGTCGCTTTCCAGAGTTTGCTTCCGAGCCTCGTAATGTGAGACTTGGCTTGTGTACAGATGGTTTTGCTCCTCATGGTAAGTTTGGGGGACAATATTCTTGTTGGCCTGTCATTTTGACCCCTTATAACTTGCCTCCCTCAATGTGTATGAAAAGACAATTCATGTTCCTTTCGTTTCTCGTTCCTGGTCCTAAAAACCCTAAGGGCAACTTGGATGTTTACATGCAACCGTTGATAGAGGAGTTGAACTATTGTGGGAAGTTGGCGCGGCTACTTGTGATATTTCGATGAAACAGAATTTCAATCTTCGAGAAGCCATCCTATGGACCATTAGTGACTTCCCGGCTTATGGCATGTTGTCTGGTTGGGCCACAACTGGTAAGAAAGCTTGTCCACATTGCATGTAGAAGAGCAAAGCATTTTGGCTCGAACATGGTTGTAAAGTTTCTTGGTTTGATTGCCACCGGCAATTCCCTCCGACAGATCACCCTTTTCGGAACAGTAAAACTGCATTTTGTTAAAACAAAGTAGAGAAAGGTGCCTCTCCGCACATCATGTCAGGAGAAGAGCTGTGGGAATGTGTTAAGGACATTCCGAAGGCTACAGATGGACCCGATTCAATTAAAAGGGTGAAAAATGAAAAGAAGGGGTGGTACAAGCAAAGCACCCTGTGGGAGATCCCATATTGGAAGCATCTCCTCATTCATCACAACTTATATGTCATGAACATTGAGAAGAACTTCTTTAATCAGTTAATTCACACTGTAATGGATGTGAAAAAGCATACATGTGACACGCCATCAGCTCGGAATGACATTGTTAGATATTGTAAACGTCCCCAGCTTCATCTTCAAGAGGATGATAGAGGAAAAGAGGTCATTCCAAAGGCTCCATTCGCTCTTGACAAGGCTCAGAGAAAAGTTTTATGTGAGTGGGTTAAACAGTTGCGGTTTCCTGATGGTTACGCCTCCAATTTGAGCAGATGCGTCGATTTGCAAGCATGTAAGCTCCACGAAATGAAAAGCCATGACTGTCACGTGTTCATGGAGAGGTTGTTGCCCACTGCTTTGAGGGAATTGCTCCCTTGCCATATTTGGAATGCAATTATAGAGATCAGCCAATTCTTCCGCGACTTGTGTTGCTATACAACATCAGTTAGTGACATGGAGCGATTGGAGAAAAACATAGCTGAGATCCTCTGCAAGGTCTTCCCTCCTGCATTCTTTAACTCCATGGAGCATTTGCCTATACATTTGCCGTATAAGGGAAGTTATGTGGTCCTGTACAATACAAATGGATGTATCCCTTCGAAAGGTAAATCAAAGACCCTTATTTCACATCCTTTGTTTTACATCCTAATCACTTGTTCATACAGTTACATAACTATAATTGCAGATTCCTCAATCATTTGAAACGGAAAATTGGGAACAAGGCTCGAGTTGAAGGTCCATATGCAATGCTTATCTCATTGAAGAGATAGCAAACTTCTGCTCCAATTACTTTCAGTCGACAGTTGACACTAAAACTCGAGATCTTGGTCGAAATGTGAATGCCGACGTCGAGTCCACATTGGACGACGCTGAAATACCAGAGTTGTTCATGGAGGATAGTGGTCGTGTGTCAAATGAGGGTAAAACTCGGTTCTTAGATGACAAAGAACTCGAGTGTGCACATTTGTTCGTGTTACGAAACACCGTCATTCTTGGCGAATACGAAAGGTATATTAGGTTTAGGTATTCAGTGTATTCGTATTTACGAACAATTACAATGATGACTTTGTAGATTTACATTGTGTGTTTGGCCTCGTAGGAAGTTTGAGGACTACATTCTTAGTACTCGACCTTTCCTGCGTAGAGAAGAAGTCATGGAGAATTTCGAAGCTGAATTCTCTTATTGGTTTCATAACAAGGTTTGATGATCCTAAGGTTCAGAGTGCGGTATCTGGTACGATTACTGGATACTACCGAGCCCCTTGGAGGAACTTTGGAGAAGTTCCTGATGCTACAAAGGAACATTAGTGGAACTTGTTCAGCGTATGATATTTTTTGGTCTTGGTTAATACATGTTTTAGTTATTGTATTGATTTAGTTTTGTTTATAACTTTTATATTTTATCATTTGCAGGCACAATTCAAATGGGCACCTCAGCTTAACGAGCAAGTGAAGCTCACATTTCGGAGTAGGGCAGCAACACGCCTGCGTGACATGTTCCACACCATCACGCACAAGATGAATGGCGCCAAGCCAAGTTGGCTGAGTGAGGAGATCCACAAGGAGATTATGGACATTGTTGCCACGGATCCAACTTACAAGGCGAGGTCAGCGCAAAATAAGAAGAACAGAAGGGGCAGTTCTATGGAAAATCCCATCCAAGGGACCCACTTTCAGGGTTCGTTGTCAGCTGTCCAACATGCAAAAAGGATGGTAAGTTTATTTATAAAGATCTTATATTAGAAGGCATTTTTGTGTATTTCAATGTAACAAGGGTGTGACATGGTTAACGTTTATTCCAATTTTTTTTGTACCAAAGGCGGCGAAGAACAAGGGCCAGCTACCAACAGCTCCCGAGCTGTTTCTAAAGACACACTTCAAGGAGCTGCCTGGGAAAGGCACAGTGCCAGTAAACCCCACAGCTAAGGAAATTGCGGTAACAAATTCCCTAAACTTAGTTCCTTGGTTCATTATTCATGAATATGGTACTGAAAACTTAGATTCTTTGTGCGTTTTTGTCATTTCAAGCCCTAGACACCTTAAACTATCAACAATTGACATGTTAGAAGGAGTAATGATAACATTATTTAAGAAATGAAGAAATTGGGCAACATAGAAGGCACTGAGGCCATATCTGGTGCGTTTTCAATCAATATGGCACCCAAAACTTAATGTGTTGGTTTTTTTTGTCATTTCAAGC